CACACACACACACACCTCTATACATCTACAGCGAGTCCTCTTAAGTACTTGGCCAAGCACTGCTCTGTGAAGGTATAAGAAGAAACTACCCAAGCCAAGAAATGAACTGCAAAAACAGAGGAAATGATTCATAGGGGCACCGGGGTGGCTCAGTCAGTTGAGTCTGCCTTCGGGCAGGTCATGGTCCCAGAGTCCTGAGATTGAGCCCCATGTCGGACCTCTGTACAGCTAAGAATCTGCTCCTCCCAACCCCCCTTTTACTCTCACTCTCTCTCTCCCTCTCAAATAAATAAACAAAATATTTTTTAAAAAGAGAGAAATGATTTATAGATCATATTTGGGGCTGGGGACAGTTTTTGTTTTTGTTAGCAAGAGTGGAAATAGCTCATATTGCATGGGGGATCAGGTAGTGCCCTCACAAGGGTATTACCTTAGTAGTGAGGTTACACTGTCTAAACCAAAGACTTTTCTGGACCTCCCCTAGTGAAGCTTAAAAGCAAGCCTTGAAAGCATCAAACTAATTTCAAGAAACTTAGCTGTGCACCAGAATAAAGGCCAACACTATTTAAAGGAATACAACAACAAAAATAAATAAATAAAGGAATACAACAAAATCCATCAATAAACTACCTAATCCCCAACATTCAACACAAAATTTTAGAAAAACATGCAAAGAAACAAAACTATGACTCATAATTAGGAGGAAAAAAAATCAATTAGGAACAGACCTAGAAATGACAGATAGGAAGGAATTAGCAGCATGGCCCACGTGATCTATTGCTGGTGTTGGTAGTGAAAAAAAATGCTATGTAGCATTTACAAGTCCCAGGGGGAGAACACCATGTGGATCGCAGGTCCCAGGGTTCCTGAAGTAAGGCTTGCTAACTGCAGGAGAGAATGACATACTTTTTGAAAAATAGCTTCAGGTACACTACTGGGCCCTAAGGAGAGATGTGACCATGAGACACCAAGTGATGATGTGTCCAGAAATGCCCACCTTAGCTAGGTTCTATCAGAATCACAACGTCATGAAGTTAGTAGGATCAGTAGCACTTCATGATGGATAGAAATGATCCAGGAGCACAGGCAAGCTGCATTAGCGGGTCACCCAAACTCCCACGTCATCATGGTTGCACCCATCCCCGCCTTCCCTCCCTCTGGTTATTTGGAGGACGTGTATGGTCAGCTGAAGGAAGAGAGAAAGCCTGAGTGATACTGTTGACTTGGCTTATTCTGAGGGTGCGGGTGAACAGGGACAACAGCTGTATTACACCCTCACTCAGGGGTAAGGCTAAAGGAGTTTGGAAAAAGGAAAAAGGATTGAGACAATGAATTCTGGGGAGAGAGGCATGTGGATGGACATACAGAAGCAGGCACAGAGCATGATAACCACTGCATTCCATGTTAATGCCCCCCCAGAAAGCACCCACAACTGAAGAGGCACTGAGCCACCAAGTAGACAAAATGACTAAGCCTGTTGCCGTTAGCTTTTGTTGGTGCCCACTCCAGTGCTGGCACAATGTGCACACAAGTAAAGTGGCAATGGTGTCAGAGATGGAGGCAACGCATGAACTCCCAATGACATGGACTCCCACTTACCAAGGCTAACCTAGACACTGCTAACTCTGAACGTCCAAGCTGCCAGAAATAGATACCAATGCTCAGACCCTCACGAAGATGTAAGAAGATCCCCTGGTCATTTGGAGCCAAAACCAGTGCATTAGGCCCATTCTTTCCTGGAAGGGGCAGCAATTTATTTGCACAAGGGCAGACACTTATTCTAGGTAAGCAGTTTCCTTTCCTGTTTATAGGGTCTCAATAGCAACCTAATTTAGAGACTTACAAAACCTCTGATCCACTGGCATGGGTTTGTGATCTACACATCATAACACCCAATCAGGAAGAGTTACCTATGGCCATTGGATCCACTAGTCCTCACATATGGCACCACTTAGAAGCTGCTGGTCTGGTTGGAGGCAAGACCCTACTCACGTACTAAATCAGATCCTCCATAGTGCTGTGTCCACAACAGAAGGATGCATGGCGCTGGGAAACAAAGGGTAGAAGCAAGAATGACTATACTTACTATCCCTCCCAGTGAACCACCAAGGGACATAAGACTTCCTACCCTACACCTCTAGGCTCTGCAGAGCCAGAAGTCATGGTTCTCAAAGGTGTACACCCTTCCCCTGCAATGAGCAAAGGCCCCTTGAACTTCAGTCTATTGCTATCACCTGGGAACTTTGGGCTCCTTGTGTCCAGGGTCCAGCAAGCAAGAAGAGTCACCACCTTGTCAGGGCTAACTAACCCTGGAGTGCCAGAGGAGGTAAGCCTGCTATGATATGATGTATGGAACTCAGGGCACCCACTTGGGGTACCCCTTGGGCTCCTTGCCCAGTTGGAACTGTGAATGGACAAGTGTAGCAACCCTGGTCCCAAAATGGTTTAATTCTTAGGATCTCAGAACCCTTGGGAATGATAGCTTTGTTCATACCAATTAGGAAAGCCAGGGAGACGAGGAGAGGTAGCAGCTGAAGGTAAAGGACATGGAGTAGAAGAGAGGATGATGAGTATCCAATGTGGCCCCCGACCAATGACAGAAAGGGCTATAGTTGGCCCCATCCAGATCCTTCAGAACATTTTTCTTCTCAGGAAGAGAAGTCCGTTAGAGTTCTGGAGGAGTGGCTCTCCATGTTTGTTGGGGCAAGAGGATCTAGAGGGTGCAAGGGGAGGACTGTGACAGGCTTGGAGATGTGCCACTTAGATCTGCTTTCAAGACTTTCCATCCAGCTGCAGATGGTATGGTTTGCTGACAGCCTCTAATTGTTGGCTTCATCAGGGGTCCCCTCAGCTTTTAAGCTGAGGGCATACTATTCCCAAATCAGAAAGGGTTGGTGGCCAGTCGTGTCATGAAGCAGTGGAAATTGAAGGCACGCTTTTCTCAGAGTGGACTCTTACTGAAGACCAAGCAAGGCAGTGGTAAAGGACGTAGCTGTTTCTGTCCAACCCTGTACCCTCTAGTGAGTGACCTCTCCCCAGAGTTCCTGTACATTAGGCAGATGTGTAAAGTCAGTACTGCAATCTGATAGCTCTCCCAGCCCCATCATCCTTCTTCCTTTTCCTCTTAAAGGTGTTTCAGTCCAGTAAAACCCTTGGTATTCTTAATGGTCTTGGGGCCTACTTCCCGAGGAACATAAGCCAACACAGAAATATAGGAACTCTTCTTATCAGTAGTTAAAATAAAGGCTCCGAGTTGGGAAGTGGCTTCTGCTAAGGGACAGAAAGGAAAATGAAGCCAGACCCTTCGAGAGAGGGGAATAGGGACAGAACCTAAAGGACTTGCAAGCCACAGCAAGGAGTTAGAATCCTATTCTGATTGTTATAGTCTTTGAAGGGTTTCAAGCAGTGGAGTGCTACAAATTGTTCCTAAGAGCTTCCTTTGTATGGTGAATTAAGACTAACTGAAGAGGCATAGTAAAGACAAGACCCATTGGGAAGCTTTTGCAATAGTCTGGGTAGGAGCTTATACCTGAGAGGTCCAGTGAAACCAGTGAGAAGTGACTGGATTCCTGAAACAAATTTTGGCAGTCTCGCTGACAGGACTCGAGTAGGGTTTACATGTGGGTGAAAAGGAGGCCATAAGAAGGAGCCTAGATGTGGACCTGAGCCATTGTGTAATGCTGTTAATTGATAAGGTAAGTGTGTGTGTGTTGGGGGAGAGGGTAGAAGTATGCTTTGGAGATATTAAGTTTAAAACACCTTTACTGCAGATTTTGAGTAGGCAGCAGGAATACTACTCTGGAGCTCACAGAGGAAATAAGGACAGGTGTTTAGGAGTTACCAGTGTATATATTTATTTTTAATGCTCTGGGATTAGATATAGTCAATAAGGAAGAGTGTAGCTTTAGAAGGCTAAGAACCAAGCCATGTCATATCATTCTCCTTCTTATAAAGCCTTCATTGTTTCCCAATACTACAGAACAAAACCCAAATTCCTTGAGAGGGCATACCAGGCCCTCTACATTCTTGCCGGAGACCACCTTTCCAGTCTCGTGTTTTCCTTCGTTTTTCTAGAGACACTTTAACTACATGGCTTCCTCTAAACACTTGGGCTCTGTGTCTTTGCTCATGCTATCCCCTCCATTTGGAGTGTCCTGCTTGCTGAAACCCTCCTTATCCTTAAAGACATAGTTCAGGTTCACCATCAATCCCTCCCTCATCTACCTACTCAAAAGCAATCACACCCAGGGCACCTGGATGTCTCACTCAGTAGAGCATGTGACTCTTGATCTCAAGGTTCTGAGTTCAAACCCCACATTGGGTGTAGAGATTTTTTTTTAAAAAATCTTAAAAAAAAAGCAAGGATACCTTACTCTGAGAATCTTATCCCTCAACTGCAAGTGAGTGAAAAATGACTTACTCAAGTGTGCCTGGAGGTAGACAGCCCAAGGCTGGTGCAGTGGCTTAGAGGTAATCCATGGACCAGGCTCCTTTCTCCTCTATCTTCCACAACATGTGGCTTTCAATCTATTGGTGCTGAAAGGTTGGAGGAGTACTGCTCCTCTTCCAGCCTCCCATTCAGGGAGAAATGGAAGAAAGGAAGCCATGAGGGTTGGGGCTGGCTCCTATCTCAGCAATCTTCCTGGAGATTTCCACACTACTGCTCCTGTCTCATTGGCCAAAACTGTGCCCTCTTACTACGGGGGAAACTGTGAGGTATAGTTTTGGATGGGTGCACTGCCAGCTTGAATCAATGTCAGGTGTTCCAATGGTAAAGGAGAGAACACATAGTCGAGTCCCAACAGGGTTTGCTAAGGAGCCCAAGTACTCTTTCATCTATTCTGATGTTTTACAGGATAGTTCGTGGTTTGTGTGTCTTTTTCATTAGATTTGAAGCCTCTCATCCACATTTTTTAAGATTCTTGTTTCCCTATACTTGGTGCATGCCTGTGAAAAGTTCTCACATCTCTCCATGTGCCGCATCACCTGAACTATATGTCAATGCTTTATTCAGATTTTATTCAAAAGTCCTTAGGACACTGCCCAGAGTTGTTCTTCCATATGTCCTTTTAGATGGCACCAGCCACCGTGTCTGTGATGTTCTGTCTCCTGTCTGTTGGGTCCCCACATCCCACAGGCACCTTCTGGTCTTCACTGCTGTTCTGTTTGTACCCAGCAAAGCACTCAACAGTTCTCTGAAAGGAGATCTACCTTATTATTAAAAAATGCGTGTACAAACAAAAAGAAATAAGGTTCAAATGTTTACTTTACAATTGTTTTATTCAAAGCAAACTTTAAAACCTAATATTTTTTTCTTTAAAAATGGGGATTTTAATAGCTTTATAATTAATTTTGATGTTGTTTACTTTACCTTCAACATAAATGATGTATATATTAAGTTAAAGTTTTCTGATATTCACGTACATTCTAATCTTGTTTAGGGAGCTATGAGATTTCATATTCAAAAGCCAACACCACTTTCCTAAAATTTAGAAGAAAAGATCCTTGTGCCCAATGTGGTAGATAATTGCTCCGAATGGTAAAAAGTCCTTTAGCCTTTGACCAAATATCAGATCTTCATTTCTGGTTGTGTGAAAATAAGTGTTTTGTTTTCTTCAGAGAACGGAAGAAGCCTTAATTCTTTAAATTTGTTTTTGTCTCAAAGACATGTCTAAAATGGGCATCTAAAATTGTAATGAATAATAAACTTTTTGATAATTTGGACTGTGCAGTGCAACTTTTAGATGATATTTTTATACCAAAAAAAGATGACCATTGGCAGCTGCATTGTACTAGGCCAAGAATCTCAGTATTATCCTCTCAGGTCCTTCTAATGAAGAGGACAAGACTTACTCTATTTAACCAACAAATTTAACAGGAGCCTAAGTACACGGCAGTTGAGGGGAGTGGGGGGGAAGAGGTCACAAGAATAGGACATAAAAAATAAATACTTTACACACTTTTCTCCCAAGCCTAAAAGTATTAAAATTCTAACTGGAGAAGATTAGAAGGTAATTAGCCAACTCAATTCCTTATAAAAAATATAAAAACTCACAAACCAATTAATGCAAAAAATCTTTTTAATCTAAAAACTCATTTCCCAGGGCTAATAGCCAAGCCCTGCCAATTTGTATTAGTGTTATTTGACTAACAAGAGCTATTCAGTATTTTCTTCCAAGTAAGATAATATATAATAGATTCTGATAAACCTTTCTAAATGAGGACATGATACTGTAGGCAGTTCAAGGAAAAATAGCCATACCTTTTTCTTTGGTGTAACCAAAAGGATATCCAAAAGTTAGCAAATGTTGACATTTCAAGTGATAAGAAATTGTCAAATGGAAGTTTAAACTCTGGTAAAAACAGTTGTAAAAGGAAAATCTCCACCCACAGTTCTGTAGTGCAAGTTTTCAAATTTAATTCTGAAAAATAATTTTATTGAATAAGCAGGAAACAGCTTCCAGCAGTGTATTTTATTATGTGCTCCTCGTCCTCTCCTACCCTCTCGGTATGTGCACCCCATTGTTGCTATTCTTAAAGGCTTTAGCTGCTACTCAAGGAGGAAATTCATTTAAAAAATTACCCATGTGGCTAAAAGTCAAGCTAAAAGTTGTGTGCCTGTGGCTGCATAGCAGCAGGCTCCGAGTTACGGCGTTGCCACTTCCACATGTTTGTCATTTTCACAAAAAAGAAACAAAGCCTTTTTTCCCCAGAAAAAAGTACCTGAACCAATTAGTCATTTAGCCCTTTCCCATCATTTTGGGTTAATCACAACTTGGCTCAGCTGGAAAGCACACCGGTGCCCACACCTACGTGTCCTCTGCAGCAACACCAGCAAATCGACCACCTCTTTCTTAGAAGAGATGGTTCTTGCTCTCCCTTCTTTGGGAACTAATTTCCAAAACTGTAACACTTTTAAAGCAATTACCACCTAGTCCATAAGACTCCATTACTCTACCCAGCTTAACTGTGTTTCCTTCTCCTATTTCTGTACATGCTGTTTGTATGTGTGTGTATTTTTTTAAACATAAAAAGTGTTCAAAATGCACACACACACACACACACACACACACACACACCCAGCATTTAAGGGGGGGGGGACAAAAAATCTTCCCCAGGAAGCACTTTCAGAAGTTAAGCTTCTACTTGCTTTTAAGCCACAGGTGTCAGGTGGGTCCTAAATGATGCTCCCCTTCCGCTGCAGGGCTGGCGGTGCCTGGGCCCACAGCACAGACGCTGAGTGGGATCCAGGGGCAAGGCAGGGAAGGGCACCTGTCAGGCTTTTCCTAGAGCGATGTTGTGTGTGCCTCCCTCATGTAACCTGGGAGTCACACGCTTGGCCCTAGCTCTCTTCCCTCTGAGGACCTCCACGTTGTTCTGCTCCATGTGTGCCCTCTGCGCTGACTATCCCATCAGCAGGGCCAGGACCCTGTGCCTGCAGGGGGGTGGCGGGCTCCCCGCCTAGTCCGTTCACGGAACACCCCCTGGCGGTGTCCAGGGCCCCGTGAGCCCGGCTATCTACAGGCTCCGTGGCCTCCCCTTCGCCTTCTGAGATGACAGTCATGGGACTGCTCTGGATTCGGTTCCGCATGCTGTACCTGCTGCTGGCTGCAGAAGGTGGAGTTCGACTGCGCCCGTACCGGGGGCCAGAGAAGGACAGACTCCGAGGCATCAGGCCTTCGTTCTTGGCCCACTCCTCCTGGGCCCTTCTGTTCTTGCTGGGGGAGCAGCTTGACGGGCTCTCGGGAGTATCTGGCGAAGGCTCTGACCTTGACCTCTGGAATCTAGGGTCTGTGTTCTTTAGCATCTCAGCTGCGGACATGCGGGCGCTGGTGTCCGAGCGGCTCCCCTTTTTTAGCAGCAGAGCTTTGAAGTTATCACTGCTGGTGCTGCTCTTCCGGACACTTCTCTGAATTGACCCCACTTGCTTGGGGGAAGCCAGGCTGGGGGCCGCACCGGTGGGCGTCACCGGAGGGGAGGGAGAATGATTTCGGGAGTGATCGTCATCTGAATCCTTCCGGCCCAGGACTTTCCTCTTGGATCTGAGAGGCAATAACATTAAGATAACGGTTAATTCCCAGTGGGCTGCAGCATGTCAGGCACCATCACGCTGCTTTCTGCTGCATTCTCAGGTCACCATTTATTAAGAGTTACTTTAGGGGCACCTGGGTGGCTCAGGTCATGATCCCGGGGAATGAGCTCCGTGTCATCAGGCTCCCTGCTCAGTGGGGAGTCTGCTTCTGCCTCTCCCCCCACCCCAGCTTGTGCGTGTGCGTGTGCGTGTGTGTGTGTGTGCATTCCCTCTCTCCCTCTAATAAACAAAATCTTTTTTTTTTTTTTAAAAGAGAATTACTTTAATAATTCATTGTATTATCGGGTGAGCCTCTGACCCAGCTACAGGAATTATTAACCAACAGCCATCTTTCTTCTATTCACTCTCACTGGATTATTTTGAAACAGATCTCAGACATCACATTAACTTATTTTGGTGAGGTTCACTTCAAAAGTTTGTAATAATTGCCATATTGTATCTAACTCTCCTATACTGGACTGATCCTGAGATCATTTGCCAGTGCTGGTCAGCCTTTCTGCTATTCTTTCTTCTCTTGCTTGGTTCTAGCCCTTGAACACGGCTAATAGATAAGCCAGCCCCCAGAATATCCACTATCCTGAGGCAGGCTCCCACCTCAGGTTCTAGAGGACTCTACAACCCTGCACTTAGTCATTCTAGAGTTTGACATAAAACCAGTCTTCCTTGGCGCTTACGGGATCTTATATCAGCTCCTCCAAATCCAGTTTTCCAGAAAACAAGAGTGAACCTTCCATACCACATGCAGTTGCTGGACTTCAGAAAACCTCCAATTGATCAAGAGATTCTGAGGAATGTGGGTGGACTGTGAAAGAGGAGGGGCCTTTAAGGAAAGTAAAATGTTTTCTGAATGTGTTTCTTGTCCTCATTCTGTTCCATGTGTTTTGTACTGAGAATGGCTCAGAGGTAATAAAGCAGATGAGCCACGGGGCCCCTTGCCGGTCTCTTCATGATAACAACTCAATCTGCATGGAATCTCTCTGCTGAGTGCAGGTGCTCTAAGGAAACTCGGTACATTTAATAAAATAAAGACATGGGTATATCTCTGTTTGCTATAAAATTCTAAATATGCAGTAGGGAAGGGTAAAGAGGATGCTATGGTATATACAGATACAATACAAAGAACTGAATTTGAGCATTACCAACTTCTAGCTGTGTAACCCTGGGCAAGCTACTCATCTATGCTGCAACATAGCTTTCACACTTGCAAAATAGGGGTGAGAATACTAACTTCACAGGTTTGTGAGGATTCAATGAGATAAACCACCTCTGTACACAGACCTGGGTTAAATTCCACACTAAGCTTCCTTGCTCTGTGACCTTGGGCAAGTTAAAGTTTCTGATCCAATTTCCTAGCTGGAAAGGGAAATAACAGTAGAGAGCTCATAGTTTATCAATAAAGATGAATGCAAATAACAGCCATAACGTGTCAGGCATGGAGGATGTGCTTAATAAAACTTTGAGTGTCATTTAGGGAAATATAATTCTTCCTTCCGGGCTTCAGTGCTATTTTGACCTGGCCTGCACAGCAAGGCACGGGGGAGAGGTGGGGTGCGGGGAAGGGCCCCTGATGGCTGCCCTGCTCTGGCGCCTAATTTTTTGTTTGGTTTTTGAAAGGTGAGGGTGCGCTGAGACAGCCTTTAACTGTGGATTTCGAATTAAGAGAGGAGATGGGAATTTATAAGTTTTGTTGTTTCTCAAGAGCAACTGCCCCCCAAAATGAGAATTAAATGTAAACATTATGAATTCTCTGAATATACGTATGTATATATGGGTATACACACACACACATACTCTGTGTGTGTATTTCTAAAGAAAATGGCTATAAAAAGTGCTCAAACAGTTAACACTAGCCTGAAAACTAATTACTTCAATAAATATAAAAATTTCACACCTCAACTGGTGTTCTACATTTTCCATCTGGCTTTAAATCTGAAGTGAATTAATTTGCATTATAAAATTTGAAGGCTGTGGTTCAGTTTAGATACTCTTTCTTTTAAATTACTAGCTTAGGTGCCGGAGAATATAAAATAAAATAAAGCCCTAAAAATCACAGCCTTCAGATGGATTTTGTTATGTCTGCTAATACATTATTGATGCTAAAACAAAAATTAGCAGGTGTCCTTACTCTCTTTGCAATCCATACCCTACTTGGCCTTTATTTCTATCATGTGTACACAGAATATAGTAATAATAATAATAATAATAATAATAATAATAATAATATAGACTGGCTGATTTCCACATCTGCAGTAGATAAAATTCACTAGTAGGAGGAACCACAGATTTTTCAGTGCCTTAAGAAGGTTGCCAAAGTAAAATAGGGCATATTTTTCAGAAAAGCACTTAGTAACTTGACCCCATGACAACTGGGCTCCTCACTGAGACCAAGTATTTAGTACACAGAGCAACTAGCAATGCATCTTCTCTCTGGACTGCTACTATAAATATGCCTACTTGTTTAACAACCCAGTGTGTTCCAAACTAAATGAAAAACGTGACGTCTTGGAAGAATTTCCTAATAGTTGAATTCCAATTGGTTTCATTTAATTCTGAAAACTATTTATTGAGTGCTTATTATGTGTCTAGCATGGTTAGAGTTAGAAACATCTGTGTAAACTTCTAGAAATGCCACTAAAGTTGGTTTCAAAGGATGTAGCATTTTTCCTTTTACTCTTTTGAGAAATAATTTCATAAGCAGCCGCCTTCTTATTTCTAATATAATCAAAGAAACCAGCCAATGTTCAAGAGGCAATCTTTAGGGTCTTTTAGGATATTATAGCAATATTAGAGTCAAGAGGTGAAGAACAAAATTCTTGACAAACACCTAATTCCCCATCTTGGTTCCTCCTTCCATTCCCCAACCCCACGTTAGATATTTATATGCTCCATGGGAGATTTCAAATCAGGACAGCCCTATGTTTTTCATCTCACGCTACCGTCTTTTCAGTTAGATTCCAAGAATTGGGAAAAGAGTCCTGACACAAGGTTATTAACATAGATAATCAAATGATTTTATAGGGTTCTTTGTTTCAGGAAGGAAAAAAGGGATCTCGAGTCAACGTAGTAGAAGGTGTTGGCAACATAAGGACATTCATAAGAATTATCTAAAAATACTGTGGTAAAGAAGTCGAGAAGGAAGCATAGGGTTTATATAGTAGCATTGTGGTTGAAAGTCCTTGTACATATACAATCTCATCTATTCTTACAATGACACTGTTATGACTACGCAGCTGTTTACAACCAGAAAGAAGGCAATATATATAGTTTTCACGTTAAATCATATTCACTCTCTGAGGTAACCACAGGTAAAAAATGTTCAGGCAGTTATTTTGAAAAATGTATCCTACATTTTTTTAAAACCCAACAATTTCTGATGCCAGTAGATGGCACTAATGGTCTAGACTACTCAAAAACAAATTTCATTCCTTCCACTCCTGCTTTGAAAAGATTGTACTCTTGTATTGAAACACTTGAAGTAGCCAGAGAAAACTGCATTAGAAAAATCCTGATATATCCTGATATTTTAAAAATATATTAATAATAATAATAATAATAATAATAAAAACGCCCTGAGGTAAAGAGGTCCCCAAGAGCTTGTCTGCGCATCTTACGTCCACAAAACACAGTGTTGCTCATCCTGGCCTGGATCATCGGTTGCTCTAATCCAGTTCTTGTAAATACTCTGTCATATGACTGACACGTTGCATTTCTTGCCAGCAAGTGTATTGCTGAGCAGAAGGCGCCGCATCGAGTCTCCGTCCCTCCCTCCCCCCAACATCACCATAAAAATCAGTGGGACAAAGTAAACCAGAAACAGGGCATCAGAGGAAATAAAAATAGAGAAACACACTCAAAAAATAAATAATTGAGTTAATGGGTGACAGAAAAAAATCCAAGGAGGGCAAATTGAGAAAGCATTTAGAAAGGCAGACTCGTGAAGATGATCAAAATTAAGGAGAAGGGGTTCGGGGTACCTGTGAATAGCTGCAAAAAGGTCTTCTGTGGTCCGGGGTCTACTGGGGGTCATCACCTCATCACTCCCTTCTTCCCTGCGGAAGTCACAGGCCTCCGAGGAAGAGCCGGCTGCGTCAGGCTCTGGCAGCCCAGCTAGAGGGAAGCAAGCAGACAAACACAGGACGCGCTAGTGACTTGAATTTGTCTTCCCAGGCTTCCCAAAATGCTGTCCCTGCCGTTCCTGATCATGTAAGAGCCACAGGACAGGCAGGCAGTCGGGTCCGTAGTTTGATCTTTTTATTTTGATAACGACAGCCAAAGCTCCTTCTTTTCTGTTGAAGTCTAGAACTCCTACTGAGTCTCTCTTAAATCTTGCTGGAACGTTTCTCTGTAGCTCTCCAGAAGGGAGGTTACTCACTGCTATTTAATACCCCGTCTGCCGCAGACCACCCTACCCCTCTATTATCTGACATTCAGTAAGCAAGATCCCTAGATCTAGGGGTTTTTTTTTGTTTGTTTGTTTGTTTTAATTTCATAAAATGCCAAGTTGGTAACCCAAGTGTGAAGCAGCAGGGGCAGCCCACATGCTGCCGGCTTTCCCGGGAACAGGCACCAGCCCCACCTTCTGCCTCTGCTGTACGGTCCGGGGGAACGAGAGAGAGAGAGAGAGAGAGAGAGAGAGAGAGAGAGAGAGAGAGAGGCATACTCACGCCCTCCGTCCTGGAGAGGCAGGCAGCTCTCCACGTCGCCTCCGCCGTCGGCGCTGGCCCCGGCACCTGGCTCCTCCTGCTTGGGGGCTGGCGGCGCGTCGGGCTGCACCATGGGGACGTCGGCTTTCACTCCACCTGGGGCCGGGGCCGGGGCCGGGGCCGGGGATCCTGCGGCTCCTCCCCCGAGGACGGCGCTGCCAGAGCCCGGCTCATCAGGACCAGCGCTGGCTCTACCACTCTCTGCTGCCTCGCCCCGCGTGGGGCCGGGGGATGCTCCGCTCACGGGCTCCGCGGGCTCCGCTGTGAGATCTCTCTGCGGAGGTGGCACCACGAGAAACAGTTTGGGCTTCTTGGAAATGGGAGGTGGCTTCCTGCTGGGTGAAGGGCCGGGGGGCTCCTGGAGCGGGGCGGGCCGGGGCCCGGGCCCAGCCTCTGCCTCCCTGGCACTGCCCGGGCCGCGGCTCGGGGGACCATGCTCGGCTGCACCGTCCCGGTGACCCTGACTCGAGCTCTTGGCAGGAGGCGGCGGCGAGCTTGTCACAGAGGCAGGCTGGCTTTCACTCTCCATTTCATTTATGCTATTTCGGGATTTCAAGAAAGCAGATGGCTTTAAATGATACTGGGGAACGACCGGAGTTAGTTTTTCCTGAGATACTTGTTCATAGAACAGTGCTTGCTCGGTTCCTGAGTTCTTTTTCACGGGCCTCAACTGTACCATCTGCAACGTTTCAGTGGTTATCAGGGGCATGGGGGGCCTCCCGCCTTCCTCCTTGTTGCAAGGCTGCCGGAAGCCCTCCCGGGAGCATTCGGGCTGGCCAGGCTTTTTGAAAGAAGGCCTGGCGTCTTTCATCAATGTAGGGTCCAGGGGTGGGGCAGCGGGGGGCAGTGGCAGGGAAGCAGATGCACCCAGAGTAAGGGGGCTGAGTGCCCTGGGGGAAGGAGGGAGGCACCCGCTGGCAGGGGGAGAGAAGGGAGTGAGAACTTCCGGTGGTGGAGGGGGGAAGAGGGGAGACTGAGGCAGAGAGCCGTCAGGGGAATCTACTAAAGGTGGGGGAGGAGGAAGAAAAGGAGACTTGTCAGCAGGACACGGTGAGGGGAGAGAAAGGAGAGAAGCACCCGCAGTGGGGGAGGCCAGCACCGAGTCCAGCTTCTTCATTGTCCCGCTTCCTTCCGTGGAAGTATTGGAAGACAGAGACGTGGACGATGAGGAGACGGATACTGAACATATCAGAGAGGACTTCCTTTCTGGCACCTTGGGCTTGGTCTTCCCCTTCCCGTTTGCTGGTGACACTGATTTTAAAAACACAGGCACAGGGGTGAGTGCTGTGGGTGTATTCGACTGGCTGGAATACCCGCTGGATGGAGAAGTGACCCTGTGGGACTTCTCTGGCGACGTGATCTTTGGTTTGACTGAGCCACCAGGCACTTGGGTCCTGGGTCCCTCCTGGACGTGGTGGACTGGCCCATTTCCAGCCGGCACCCCGCTGCTGGCTGAGCAGCCCCCTCCAGGGGGCCCGGGGTCTTCCTGCATGCCTGTGTAGTCAATGTAGTAACCCCAAGGGTCTGTGTACTCAGACTTGACGCTGCTCGTGTCACTCTGCGACGGCGTGGCCCCGCACAGGGAGTAGACGTTGGGGGTGGTGGCCGAGGTCATGCTGCTGCTGGCACTCACGGTGCTCTGGCTGCGGGAGCGAGGCAGCCAGGGCTCTTCAAAGTCGCTGCAGGGGCTCTGGGAGGGCGAGCTGCCGCCCTTGCCCGGGAGGTTCAGCTGCAGCGAGTGCTGCAGCGAGGCGATCAGGCTCTCGTTCAGCGCCTGCCCATTGGACTGGACGCCCTTCTTGGGAATCCTGCGCAGGGAGTCAGTCCGAGAGGGTGGCAGAGGCGGCTTCTTTGCTTTCTTCAAAGAGATGTTTCGAGAAAGGGACTTGTCATGGTAATGTGACCGGTCCCCTTGGTTTTTCGGAGCTCTTCCATCAAAAACATTGACCACACTGTGCCTGGGGTTCCCAAAGCCATCACTATTGTACTGGTTTCCAGATCCCTGTCCCGGATCGGGGTGCACAGATGTGTAGTAGCCATCATGCTCCTCTGAATACAGGGATCTGGCATCATCTTTGGGGGATGTTTGGTCCAAGCTGCAGCTGCTCACATTACTTCCGGGAGTGGAGTAACCAGGCGTTGTCAAATGAGCCTTCAGTGGGCATGCTTGCCCGTTACCGGAGGCACTATATTCCCAGGGCTCCGAGCTGCTGGGCCCCGTGCCTCCTGAATAACTGGACTCACTCTTGCCATCCACATCCTGGGCGTGGACTGGAGAACTCAGGTTGTTTTTACAGTTATAGCTCATGGCTTGGGACCCATTCTCCCGATTTGCTGAAGTATTTAGAGAAACCACTGAATCACAGAGGGACAATAGCATGGTTGCACTGGAGGTATGGGGATCTAAGGCCTGTGAAAGAATGCTGGGGTGACCCTCTGTCCAGTTGCCACTGGGAGACTGATGATCATCTTTACTAGTATGCCTGGAGAGGAGGTGGTCTCTAGATTTTATCTTTGAGTATGAAGAGGAGCTGGTGATTTTACTGTCCAGCTGTCCTGAACTCTGAGCAGTGTGAATAATAATAATCTCTGAAGAGGAAGAGAGTGTGGCATTTGGGATGATGCTGGTGGAGTAGGTGGCATGAGGAGAGACCACACACGCTGGGCTGATCACATTCTCAAAATGCCTCAGCTCCTGGGACTTGGGTCTCAAAAGCATTCCAGTCCTTGAGGCACCTCCCAAATGTCCTGAATTTTCATCTACTTGTGGGTGACCACTCTGGTAGGGATAAGTGCCATCCAGGTCTTCTGCAGGGCTCAGGGCACCCAATCGTGACTCGAGGGACTGAACACTCACCCTCGCTCCAGAACGTGGGAGACTGTGGAAGCCAGCATCATTGTTGAGGCGAGAAGGGAACACAATACCTGCAGAATCACTCAACACAGACATGTTCCCGGAGGAGCCTGAGAAGTGGCTCATCTGGGCAGCAATGCCTTGCCCCTTCTGTGCCCTGATTCTTCTCATTGAAGGGGGTACAACTTTCACTTCCTCAGTCTGACAGCTGGAGTCCCTGGTTTCTGAGCGCTGCCCAGCAGAGCAATAGCTATCAAGCCTTCCCAGTGTGGAGCAGTGGTCTGGGGTGTACAACGAGTGACCACCACCATCATCTTGGCCAGTGACTGATGCTGGAGATAAAGCAGAAGAGATTTGTTATCTCAAAATATCTTAGTTCATCACCTGTACCCTCACCCCCTTCTAATTCTGCTGTACTTAAAAAAAATTTTTTTTTTCTATTTGATCTAGTTTCTTTTCTCCTATAGGTATCTGGGTGAGAGTCTAATTAGTTATACCGATAGCTCCTAAGGTAAAAACCCTTATTATGAATTTCATGTCCTTCTACTGATTTGTACTTCAAATCCTCCCATAGATGAAGTGCTACATATCGAATTCTCAGTTACTCTCTTTGAGATCAAGGCTGAGTGCTCTGTGGAAGATTTTCTTTTCAAATAATCTCCTTTTGGTAAAGATTTCAAGGTGGCCTGTCACCCACCTGGTGACTACCAGAGCATCTGTCAAGCTAAGACTGTCTTTCCCAGAGTAGGGCTCAACAGTAGGGCTACAGAGATACCATTTACAAGGGATATTGGTATAAAACAGTGTTAAGTGCATTAATTTTTTTTCATGTCAGAAGGAAATCGTAAGAAAAAAATGATTTACAGGCCCATCTGTGTTTCAAACATTTCATTATCCATCTCAAACCATTGTCATCTGTCAGTGACATTCAAAATCCAAGAACAATCTGTTGTGTTCTGGTGGGGAAAAAGCAGCAGGAACCGATCCAGTGAGCATTTCCTCAAATTAGGGTTATTCATTTCTTGGAGCTTACAACCATACTGAGAGTAGGTATGTTTAAAGAAAGAAGAGAAAAAGCATAAAAAGGGCCACATGGAGAGGAAAATGAGAAAAAAAAACCTTAAGTGTAGATAACAGTTAGATTTCAAGCTATCTAGAAAGGAACAGAATCTCAAAAAGAAGAAAAAATCATGAAACCAACAACTTTATGAAGGTGTACAGAGAGAGAAAAAAAATCAATTCATGCATAGTAAACATTAAGACACACTAAATTTTGAAAAACAATAGCAAAACCAGTTTTTCTCTATGTTGTCTCAAAAACTTAAAAAAAAAAAAATCTCAAGCATGCGCTTTGGTGAGCAATGCAAGCTGAGTGCCTGCCGGCATCAATGTTCACCTGGGCAAGCACACTGGTGGTGATGGGATTCCTGAGAACTCCCTCCCTACCCCACATCAATTAACCTTGTGTCCCTGACTGGATATAAAGCCTTTCGTTCATCTGAATAGCAAAGGATATTGCAAATACAGCAGTGATGGTCTTGTATGAACCACAAAGGAGATGTCATCCTACGAGAATAAAGTGTAAAGCCCATTCCTTCATTTTCGATGATGGAGAATATTTTTATACTTGTATTTTTAGCAAAGAGGATCTCTTTCTTTCCTCTACCCTCTGCCAGGCACACTCACTGAAGACAGACACACACACACAGATACACACAGACACAAAGACACACACACACACACACACACACACACACACACACAAGGTTTTCCCTTCAGGAAGAGAGGAAGTGGCCAATAGGCAGAAGCAGGAGAAAAATCCACTTTGAGGAAAGAAAACAAAAGATGAAGTTTTTGCCACTTGGTATTTTAGGAGGGAAATTGGCTTGTATGACTGTATCAGTTTGCACCAGTTTGGCTCCAAATATTCAAGATACCTAATTCCATTCAACAATGGATTTTTATAGCTTTTTCTTTCAAAACTGCATAACATCTCATGCAACTTTTGCATGAGATCAGTGGTAAATTTTTAACTACCATAAATGATGTATTGATTCTTTTAGGTAACAATTTTGAATGTGAAACCATCCTAGAATTCTCAAAATGGAAATATAGCCATTTCTTCACCATTTATAGCCCAATACAACTTTCTTATTAAAATCATGTTTTTCTAAAGACCCTTAAAAATACATGTAAAATGAAACTCACATATCAGCCATCATAGGGACCACTGAAGTTCTATTTCAAAAATAGATCCTCTAATATTTTTCTTAAGATTTTATTTATTGATTTGAGAGAGAATGAGAGACGGTGGGGGAGGGGCACGAGGTGGAAGAGAGACAGAGGGAGAAGCAGGGAGAAGCAGACTCCCTGCTTGGGGAGCCCTACTCCAGGCTCGATCCTGGGACTCTGGGATCATGACCTGAGCTAAGGGCAGATGCTTAACCAACTGAGCCATCCAGGCGTCCCTAATATTTTCATAGTACAAAAAGTGTCACATATTATAGGACACAGATGAATACTATCTTGACTAGAATTAAATAACAGAAACAGACTATAAAAAGAGATCTGCGAACAAATATAGACCTCTTAGGTGTTGCTAAAAATCTTTTTTTTTAAAGATTTATTTATTTATTCATGAGACACCACACCACACACCCACACATATATACGCAGAGGAAGAAGCAGGCTCCATGCAGGAAGCCCGATGTGGGACTCAATCCCAGGACTCTGGGATCATGTCTTGAGCCAGAGGCAGATGCTCAACTGCTGAGCCACCTACAGTGTTGCTAAAAATCTTGATGGGGGCAGCCCTGGTGGCTCAGCGGTTTGGCACTGCCTTCAGTCCAGGGCATGATCCTGGAGACCTGGGATCGAGTCCCACGTTGGGTTCCCTGCATGGAGCCTGCTTCTCCCTCTGCCTGTGTCTCTGTCTCTCTCTCTCTCTGTGTCTCTCATGAATAAATAAATAAAATCTTAAAAAAAAATCTTGATGGGATTTATCTGATTTTGCAAAATAATATAAAGAAAGAATTATATACTTTTTTACTTATTACACAATACTACAAGGGATGTCCAATTAAAAAATATATGTAATCAAAGATGATAGAGATCTACAGTTTAGTTAATTTAAGGTTTAACACAATGATTTTTAAAAAGTCATGTCTGGTCTTATGTTCTTAATGCTCTTAGTACAACCTATCAATAGTTATTCAGAAGATGATTCCCTTAAACAAAGCTTTTTTTGCTTGAGGAATGCAGTGTTCCAGGAACTATTCAGTAACCAAATATAAGTATATAACAACAAAATGATAGTACCTGATTCTAGAGGATGAAAACTTGTGATGGGTTGTTCAAATACATTTCTATGTATGTTTAAGATAATAAGAGTAAAGAAAAAATTAGAAATTCTGTCTGATTTGGGATGGCTGGGTGGCTCAGCAGTTGAGTGTCTGCCTTTGGTTCAGGGCATGATCCTGGGGTCCTGGGATCAAGGACCACATTTGGCTCCCCAGGAGCCTGTTTCCCCTCTGCCTCTGTCTAGGTCTCTTTGTCTCCCATGAATAAATAAACAAACAAACAAATAAATAAACAAACAAAATCTTAAAAAAAAAGAAATTTTGTCTGATTCATTTAAATGGAAGGCAACAAATTATTACCTATAAAGTACTTGAAACGGTAAATATAAAACCTTGACTTCAAAGTATTCTAAAGTGGCTTACCTCTAAAGTCCCCTATTTATGGATTTTGAAGTGAAAAGTCATATAGATTTAAATTAAGCACAATCAACTCTCTAATTCTGGAAGAATCTCTGGTTAGATTTTTAAAAATCCAAATCCCCAGCAACTTGGGCAGTTGTCTAGTGAATAGCAAGTGTGTTTCCCAGTGACTGTTTTTTTTTTCAGATAATCATTTCTCTTTTCATCTGATTTGTTTGACTCAGCTATACTTTCCCATGCTTCACAACTAGAATAGACTAATTTTTAAGGAAAATACCAAGTGTTTATTTTTGAGAATCATTAGTTAGGTAGCTTTGAAATACCAGGCACCTTATAAGTACAAAACATTGGGGAGGAAGGGCAAGATCAACTACAAGTCATAAAGTGAATGAAGAAAAATATATGATCCAAATTTTCTGCTAAATGATACTATATTTAAATGTTATTTTCCCTTACTCTATCAATCCTTAAAACTATAGTTGTTATTTGTCTTTTTTTAAAACTAGCTCTAACTTATCTCAGTTGACCACCAGCGAGGATCCAGGTCATTTCATTGACTATGAAATGACATCAACTATCTCATGTTTGGCAACAATCACAATGCAAAGATTTGGGGAAGCTATTTGCTTTCTTCCAGCATTACTGGGATTTCTGTGTTAAATGTAAAAGAGAAATGAACATGGGCCCCAGGGACTCGATCATTGATTTTAAAAATAAAATTATAGAAGACATGATTTACCTAGCTGCTTAGACCTTCTAGTAAGGTCAAAGAGGCACCTGAGTTACTGGCTTCATACTGATTGGTTTAGTAATAAAAATGATAAAAGTGCATACCTCTGAGGTTCTAGAAATTATATTACATTATGTACACATATATAGTAGAGGGGAGACAGAGAGAAAGAGAGAGAGAGAATTCATATTGAGTATTTGTGTGTATACATATCTTTACCTGGGCCAAACTATCCTTACTCTTTGCACAAAGCTATCCACAACCTGTCTATTTGATTGTACAGCCACTAAAATACAGACTACCTTGAAACATCAACCTTTTTATCTTACAAAGGGTCTGTCTTTATAAAGTCACTCACTCCTTTAAAGAACGCTCCCTAAAGATCAGTTAAAATATAAACATTACCTGAGTGCTGTAAGAAATTAGCCCATTAAGCACCTACTGAACATAAGAGTAGGTACTAGGTTTCTCACATTAGTTAGCTATCACCTAAAGGAGGGGGAAAAAAATAAAGAGTCTGACAGAATGAGATCCAAGAGAACTGGCCCAGATCTGGAAGCAGATGCAAGGGCATGAACCAGACAAATTTCATAAATCCTGTGGATGCAGGCTTGCCTTTGTTTGTGATAAAACCCTGTTATGAAATAAGATGGGCACCCATATGTCATCTGGGTCACTGGAACAATCTAGAGCAAAAGCTAAGAGTCCCTATTCTTGTCCCATTGTGGCTTCAGTCTGGAAGGTCGAGCATACGTACTGCAGAACAGGATGGCAGGAAAAGAGAGAATATGGGTAAAGAAGAGTTAGCCTTCCATTACTGATACATGGCTCTTAAGCAGGGGTATTGGGAAAAAACACAGAGGTACAATGTCTTTAGCACCCGGATGTTGCAATGCTACCTCAATGTGCTGTAACAGATCACCATAGCTAGGAAAAATTCATTTTGACTGAAACATGGCTGAGCAAGTTCAGAAATAATTATTCTGAATTTCTAGACCCTCAATAGTAAATGTAAGTAAAAACATCAGGTGAAAGTAGCTATAAGGAAATAAGTCCATTAGTTCACTGAAGAGAAAGAAGCAAATTTCAAAACAGGTACTATTAAGTTCCCTACAATAATTATAAAAGCAGCTATTAAATTAACATATGGTAAACACTACCTGACATCAAGTGCTTCACCTGTATAAATTCATTATATCCTCCCAACAACCTTATGAGATATGTTCTGTTAGCATCACCAACCACATTATTTGAATGAGGAAAGCAGACTCAGAGAGGTAAAGTAACCAGCCTGAGGCCACCCAGAGAGTAAGTGGCAGAGCTAGGATTCAAATCCAAGCAGCCTGGTGTCAGAGTGCCTGGCCCTGACCCAGTATGCTCTGCTGCCTCTGTAGACATTCCTGATGGGCCCGTTAAAAACCAGAGAGAGGAAGTGAATATAGAAAGAAAGGACTATCCAAAGCTTATATAAAGATAAGCAGAAATAATACGGATAAGTGAATTATGAAGTAAATAACCCTCTCTACTAGATTAAAATAAAAGGACGGGGTGTCTTTTTTTCTATTTTTGTCACAGGTTGAAAAGTACTGACCAAAAATACCTATGAAATTGTTTCATTGGAAGTTCCATTAAGGCACTATCCAACATAAATGACTATTTCCTATTGTACTGAAATTTACTAATCATCCCACACTGCTGTCTCTTTGATGACAAAATGCCACCAACACTGTCAGTATGACTAATGAAATCCATATTTACAATCTGAAGTCCTAGAATGAGTTTTCAGTTTTATGAAAAATTAAGATCTAAATGAAGGGTAAATGTCATTGTGGAAATATCCAATGTGCAAGGTTCACAGAGATGATGACATTACCGAAAATTTCCATCACCCCAATTAACAGTTTTCATATAGGCTCTTTGTGTCACCTTCTCACCAAAATTCAACAAATCATCTTCATGAGATGTTAAGACTTGTATCCAGTGCCTCACTCAGGAGAGAAGCCGTTCCTCTGGGGACACCAAACGGCTATCAGAATGTATTGATCTCATAAGCACGATGATGAGGTTAGAGTAGTAATGCTGAGCAGTAATGTGGGGCGACAAAATACAGTTCTGATGAGCCATACCTAGCTCCTTCTGTATGTTGTCAGGGACTCCTGTAATAGTCTTTCTCCTTTTGACTTTCTTCGGTCGTCTTACCAGAGTGTCTGTGTAAATTAGAGACCGCCGAAGACTGGCCTGGCGATCGAAATTCTCCCCTAATATAGAGTAGTAGAACAAGCAAAGCAATGTTATTTTCAAGCAAGCCGACACCATGCACTTTCTTCCAGAAGCTTGTTGTAAAATGATCAGAAGGTATTAATAATGATGTTAGCCAGTCATATGATGATGAATAAATGCTGAAGGGCAAAAATAGGAAGGAAAGCACATTATCATCATAAGGCTGTTTTGTTTTGTTTTTTGTTTTTTTTTCCATTTCCAGTGTGTGTCCTTCCAAAGGAAACACCTTGATCTCATTTGCAAACGAGGTGGGGTAACAAGTGCAAATCTGTTAATAACACACTTGAACAGTGATTCTGTGCTATTTTAAAAATTGGGTCATTTTGGAAGTGTTTTACATAGGCTCTCTGGTCACTGAAATCACTCTTTATATCAGTGTACATAGGACGGAAATGGGCATATTGTGTTCATTTGGTTATCTCTAGAGAGCAATATAATGTCTTATCCTATGTGATGATACAAATAGCTTAATCAAGAATTCTTGGATGGGGATCCCTGGGTGGCGCAGTGGTTTAGCGCCTGCCTTTGGCCCAGGGCGTGATCCTGGAGACCCGGATCAAATCCCACGTCGGGCTCCCGGTGCATGGAGCCTGCTTCTCCCTCTGCCTATGTCTCTGCCTCTCTCTCTCACTGTGTGCCTATCATAAATAAATAAAATTAAAAAAAAAAAAAGAATTCTTGGATGAAGAGCTTTTTCTTTCAGTCAGGGTGGATGATAATTTGGACAGGCTGTAGTAATTGCTGTGGTGTGAGATACAACTATAATGACCAATAAAAAGCCTTATAATGATAAAGTACTTTTACCACAATGAGACCCAGTAGCACTGCTGTTGTTAAAGCTGAATTGCTTTCTCTGTTTCATAATCACCTTTTATAATTGCTCTTAATTCAGACATTTCCGGTAATTTTGCAATCAAACCTAGAATGCTACGTCTACTGGATTTTTTTATCTCTAGATTGTGAGCTTGTGTGACTAACACACCAATGTGATACCATAAAATAATATAGTATCAGTTATTGATTGGTCTGCTTTAAATTATTTGTGAGTTTAATAAAGAAAGTTTTATAGCACTATCTTTGTTAAATGGTTATTCTGCTTAAAAAGAGATTTTAAAAATACATAGGTACACAAATTATATACTTCCATCATTCTTAGGTTGTAAAAAAAAAGTATAAAAACATTCACTCTTTTTAGCAATACTGACACATGTTCAAAGTAAATATGTTGTAAACCAGTGAACTCTCTATTTAAATAGGAAAATCTAAACAGAAGATAAAAGACCTGAATAATCGAAACACATTTCACCTATGAAGGAACAAGCATAAATAAATGCTTTCAACTTTGAAAATGCTTGCAACTTTGTTCCTAATGGAGAAAACTAGAAATGACTGAGAGAAGACAGTGAAACTCCAAAAGGTACCATCACTGTGATAAATACATCACTCTGTGCAATAGCATATATGGTGCTTCTAAGGGGCAAGTCATGACTTTCATGGTTCATTAGTTTCCTGCAGCAGAGGAAGACAATTTCCTTGTATCAAGGCATTAAGAACAGACAAAACATTAATAGTTGCATTTAGTCTCTAGTTTTGCTTCCTAAAAAACAAAACAGAAACAAAAGATAAACCACCCAAACTCCAAGGAAATTGAGAAAATATAAGAATGGCATCTAAGACAAATGTCATTAAAGGCATCATCCAACTCTCCATCTTGCATCATGACCCAAGAAGTCTGTCCTCTTGGTGGACTACACATTTCTTGAGGGCGGTACCATGATTTACAGAACTTAGCAACCCTGTGTCACTCAGCTTGATGCCTGACACAAAGTAGGTATTTAATAAATACCTGTTGAGAGGAATTGAATCACTTCCCTTCATTGAAAAACAGCCTTAGTCATGGTTACCACTTAGAAATAAACTTTAGCTAACTCAGATTAGTACAAAGCCAGTTTGCCAAAACTGTTGAAGCAGGTTTACCCACTCTATTTCCAGATGGAAGACTTGTTATTCCACAGGGCAGAATATGAAACCTATGCATATATACATTTCATTTGAAACATTTTTTTTTTTCTCTTCAACTCCCAGAACAGGATGAGTCCCTACAGGACTATGACTAAAGGGATTAAATTGATTTTCTGGCTGGCAGCTCACTGTGCTAATGTTCTACTTCTATGCCTGGCCAGCTTTGCCCTGGATGTGAAATAGTATATTTATTGACATTTCTTTTCCCTACTGAACCGACTAAGAAATCAAACTAGAGTGTCAGTGTTCATCCAAATAATGGAACATGTGACAATTCTCTATAGGAAGCTACACTTTAGTCTCAAAGTTTTCTAGGGGCTCAGAAATATAATATTTAAAGAGCAGGAAGCTATATAACCCATGTCAGTTTGCTAAAAGTGAAGAGTTTAAATGTAATGCTTTTTTATATCACAATATCAGAAAAATTCATCTCTATATGAAATATATGTGTATGTATGTGAACACATGGACCAGAACACAGATCAATAAATAATATTTATTGTGCCTAATAATATAATTAGGCACTATATTTAATTATTACACTTCTGAAAGTGGTAATCACTCAATTAAAAGTAAATTGCACTTCAAGATAACTCATATTGCTCACTTCATTATTGTTTGCCTTCCCTATGTGGCATTTGAAGGACTCTTTTAAACTCTGTGTAATTCATATCCATTTAGTAGTCATTAATAGGAGAAAATTAGGGATCCCTGGGTGGCGCAGCGGTTTGGCACCTGCCTTTGGCCCGGGGCGCGATCCTGGAGACCCGGGATCGAATCCCACATCAGGCTCCCAGTGCATGGAGCCTGCTTCTCCCTCTGCCTATGTCTCTGCCTCTCTCTCTCTCTCTCTCTCTCTGTGACTATCATAAATAAATAAAAATTAAAAAAAATAGGAGAAAATTACAGCTCAAAGAAATGGCACTGTCTACTGTTGTTAGAACACATTTCATTGCAAATAATTCTTTATTTCTAAAGCTATAGGTACTCTGTTTTACATTTTCTAACTTCAGGATAATGCATTTATCCTAATTCCATTAAGGACTGTCATATTTCATAGCACAGTCTTCTTATTATATTACTTCTGAGGCATTTAATCATATATAATGTAATTATGTTTCTGCTGCATTTAATCAATCAAAGAATGTAATGCGTTTTCTTATAGAAGATATGTGTCCACATATTCCATAGAGCAATAAACACAGTTTATTATGAAACACGGCTATTTATAAAAATAATCTTAAAAAGATATGATCTAGGTGTATGAGAATCACATTCGGGAAGATCAGCAATGTTATCTGCCAAGAAAATGGAATAAAATACTATGCTATTAGGGTTAAGTACAGTCAATGTGGAAAAATGTACATGGAATTTAAAATAATTCATGCACTTATTTACTAAATCTCCCTAGAATTCAAAGCAAGTGTAATTTTTATTCTAAATGTAATTTTTAAAACATCTGTAAGGTTTAAAAAAAATCTTCATTAACTATCAAAATCTACAACCTTTCTAACAGCAGTCAACAGCAGTAGCAGTGGCTTCAGAAATACAGCAAGGGTGCTGTGGTTTTTCATCCTAATTTCTTATGAAAATTCATACTTATTGGTCACCTAGTTTTTTAGGTTCTGGCCCAAGAGGCCATGCTTTGTATGGACTGATTATCAATGATAATTATGAGTAATCTGCTTCACTTGAACACTCTGTCCAATGCTAACTCTTAACCCATCTTATTTTTTTACTTGGTATGCCCCTCCCCACCCCAAACCACTGACCTATCTTCTTTGTGGGCTATGGAACTGATAAAGCAGGACAATTTTGACTTTTAATCTTTAACAACTCCTCTAAGTTTGCGAAGTATTGCCTTTGAGCTTTACGTACCTTGCTATTTGTCCCCTTAAATATCACAGATGATTAAAATCTAAGCAAAAAAATTCTAAAAGAACTTGAATTTCATGTTTGGCAATATTCATACTCCAACTTAATATAACATATTCTAAAAATTTTATATTCAGAAGGAAGTGATTTTTATTTGAAGATTGTAGAATTCAAATAATGGGGATCAAAATATAATTTTACCATCCTATTAACTTTAAAACAATATTTTTATAATTTTTACTGTCAATTCACTTGATATTCTTAAGCAATGTTTCCCTTTTTCTATTTAAGACAAAAAGGTAAGAAAATCGATCATTTGGAAATATCACAAAACTGTTATTTTCTCACTTTCATAAATACAACATAAAATAGCCCTTTAGAAAAGAAACATCATTCTTTTCTTACCCAGGACCATGTTTAGAAAATGTTTTCAAAAAAGTAATTTAATGAAACTCCCCCCACACACACACTTTTGATGAATTCCATGATATCAACCTTTGGTAACACAAGCAAGAGATATTTCATGTGCATGCACATATGTAAGTTTTAGTATTCCTTTTAAAGAGCAGGAAGCTGGACTGCAGCTATTTTTATCTTTGATGTATAAATGAAATGCTAAGAGCATATAACAAACAAAAGCCCAAGTCATTCTCCCAAGTACATTTAGAAACCTAGCTGCATAGCAAAGCATACCAGTTATGTTAATGGCAACCACATCAGCCTGGACTGTCTGGGCTTGCTGTCGCATCTTCTCTTCTGGTGTTGGCAAAGGAAGTGACTTGGTCCAGTTCGTTTGAGTATTAAGGTCGGAGAAGTCACTTGAGGTTGGCGTTTTAGGTCTCCTGATGGAAATAAGTCTTTCTTCTTCTGATGAAGAAACAGAACACTGCAGGGAAAAAAGTAAGAAGACAGTGTGTAAATAGCTGGCAGAAACATTTAAAAGTACATTTCTTATTTAGAAAAAAAAAAAAACGGATTTGAAGCAAGCCCCCTACTCCCCCGCAAAAGTTCACATTTAGGAAAGAAGCAGTGATTTCCAAGAAAACTGCTCTTCATCATCTAGACCATGACCTGTTATACATATGATTCGCACAGTGGCCTTAATCTCTAAACCATGAGGACTGAAAAGGGTTTTGCTGACCCACAATATCTTTTCCGTTCTTCCTGTTTTTTCTATATTTACTATGGTCAGAAAGCTTATGGATTTAGTTTACCACCAGAAGCCTAGAAAAACATCATGGCTGTGGCCAGCGGTTTACATTTTTATTAAAATTTTGTTTGCTCAAAGTAATTTCTAGCCTCAATCTTATTTCTCTAAGGCACTGACCTCAAGGAACATTTCTGACATGATAAGCTATTGTTACTCAACTATGTGTGCTCTTCTGAAACCATTTACACGGGAAAAATCAGTGTGAAATTGTTAAATTCTAAGAAGCTGACTGAAGCTCTGCTCTGAGGCTTATCAGAATTCCACGAAAACATTTCTGGCAGTGTCTGTTTTGATACAGATTAACATCCTAACTGGAGAGCTCTTCTTCAATACCTTTCTTCCCATAACATCTTAAAAAGCATAAGCAAGAAAGTTGTTTTGGCAAGCATTTTATGATGGATTCTAAGAATAAAGAGTCAATGAACCTTTCAAGGGAACATCTGTGTAACCAGCACCCAAATCAGTTTAACATTCCCCTCCCAAAAACACAGAGCCCCAAGCAAGGGTAACTACTCTCCTGACTTATAACCCATGGCTTTATTTGCCAATATTTGTCCCAAAGAGAATTGTGATGTATGTTCTCTTTTATAACTTACTTCTTTCATTCAATATTATGTTTGTGAGAATTCATCTATCTTTCAAAAGCAGGCATTGATACCTTTCTGGATTTAATGCAAGTTTCTAAGAGGACACTGGTAAGATTCTTACAGAAATGCATTTGTTAGAAATTTCAACCACTTAGAAGAACACTGTCATCACTCTTTATTGCTATTGGGTTCAGCTTACTGAAAATATCTATATCTATTCTACAACTACCAGCCCTCCACAGATTTGAAAAAGACTAGAGAAGAACCAAGAAAAATAGTTTGGTGTTGGGCATAGGGTTGAGACCAAGAATCCAAAGACTGGAGTCAATTCACTTTATACCTGCCAGACAAGTGATCTTCAGACGTTTCCTGAACCTAATTTTCCTTTGCTGTAAAATGGGATTATACATTTACTTCCTGAATCCCCCAAAGAGCTACTCTTAAGACCTAATGAGATAATATCTATGAAAATGTCTGACTGGGAATGAAGGTGGTGGCCATAATAATGGGACTTTTGGAAAAGATAATCATGAATTGACAAGCACCCAAGTTTCTCTTTTATTGCAAAGACACTACCAATAATAAAGGTGTTGTGGAAATAGTATAAAATAAAACATTATTAAACATCTCTGTTTTTGACTTTATATTCTTGATACATAAAACATGTAATATGATATTGTTTCTTCTCCACCTAAGGAAAATGTGAAATAATATTTGTAATTAAACTGACAAATAAATATATTCAACTTATGACAAGCATGTTATAGACATCTGATTGTGATACTAAATTATACCATATCCATTCATGTTTGATCCACTTCTGGGAAAATGGTTATGATTCCTACAGATCCTTGAAAGACAATCAAAGGGGGCAGCCCCAGTGGCCGCAGCGGCTTAGGGCTGCCTGCAGCCTGGGGCATGATCCTGGAGACCTGGGATCGAGTCCCACATCGGGCTCCCTGCATGGAGCCTGCTTCTCCCTCTGCCTGTGTCTCTGCCTCTCTCTCTCTCTCTCTCTGTGTCTCTATGAATAAATAAATAAAATCTTAAAAAAAAAAAAAAAGAAAGACAATCAAGGGAATTTTGTGGTCAACATGGCAGCTAAGCCATAGGAATATAAATAATTTCCAGCCTTTTTGCACTTGTAACACTCTTATTAAATTTGACTTATATATTCTCTATCCTTAAGATGCGGACCCATACACACTTACTCTCTCTCTCTCTCTCTCTCTCTCTCTCTCTCTCACACACACACACAAGTAAATTAAAACCAATTTCATATGAGTATTTCGTGAGTTTCTGATGTTGCTGATTGAAATTCAATTTAGTAAATTAGAAGGTTACTCCAATTTTTTGATGTACAGATAGAAATAATTTTTCAGGTAATCTTGAAATATGACACAAACCTTGAAGGCCACATGAAGCAAATCCTAACCAAACAGGTTTACCAGCAAGAAAAGTAAAGCTATAGCTCGACAGAGAATAAGTAGCATGGTGACACCCTGCAGAGCAGGTTCCCTTTACTATGTGACTTCTGCCAAGGGAGCTGGTGAAGCACTGTTCACAGTTTGTGTGCATCTCAATGGCACTCATCAGCCCTAGTAACCTACTTTGCTTTTAGTTGGCTGATAGTGTCAGGATTGATAACTATCACAATGAAATAATACTTCAGTTTAGCCTTGTTGCCATGGAATAATCACCAGGGATAGCTCTAGCATGACAACTTTCAAAGGTAATCTATTTTATTAAGTGTTCCCTTCGTTTGCAAGAACATTTCCCAAGCATGCCACAGAATAAACTATATGCAAATGTGACTACTATGCAGTGCTACAACTTACTAAGAAAAATTAAAACCAGGACAGTAATGACTTCTAGAATAATCTGACTCCTAACCCTCCTAGCATTTGTAAATACAGCAAGGGGCACAGGAAAAACCTCCTGCATCTCAATGGCAGAACACATCATAATTACTCCATTAAGATAGATACTGTAATGCTCTGAATGATTACATTTGCCTCTTAACTGGTCCCCAGCTTCTGTCTACCCTCCTGTTCTAACAGTTTATTTCTCAACACGGAGGCCAGAGGGATCTTCTTAAAATTTATGTCAGATCATGTTGCTCCTCTGCTCAACCCCATCAATATCCTTACTATGACCTACAAGACCCTATGTGGTCTGCCAACAGCCCACTGCTATCTTCTGAACTAAATTACTATTCATTCCACCCCTTATTCTATTCCAGCTGTACCACCCTTTCCATGCACTTTCTTGTATGTATCATGCACACTCCTGCCTCAGGGCCTTTGCAATTGCTGCTCCCATTGTCTGACATGCTCTTTCCTGAGACATCTAAATCTTATTTTTCTTTGGGTGTTTATTCAAGAGTCCTCTTCTTGTTGCGGTCTTAGATGTTCAGCATCCCTAAAATTTCAACTCCTCCCCTCTCTGCTTTTTCTCTTTAGTACATATCACAAGCATATATGTATTTTAGTTATTTATCTTATTTCTCCCATGAGAACATAAGTTCCACAAGCTTTAAATCAGAATCACACAGAACCTTGGCAGAATTTTAGCTAAATAACTGATTGCTATGTGTCTCACTCTGGGATGCAGACTTTATAGAAATTGGTTATCTCATTTTAATCTTTATAGCATTAGCCTCATTTTATATATAAGGAAATGGAGTAAAGTTAAATGGAGTAAAGTACTTTTGGGAAGTACACATGTGGACAACTGGGATTAGAACCCAGACTTAACCCCAGAGTCTCTGCTGTAAAATAACAACCTGGCAATATTTGCAATAAGTTACTAGGTTGTCTTATCTAAAGATTAAATCTCCATTTTTAGCTCTTATCCAAGAACAAACCTTTTGAAAATCTATAGAAGCCAAAAGTGTGGTGTAATGGGAGGGGCAGTACACACTAGAGTATAACACTAAGTAATCAGCATCTTGGCTCTGTCATTTACTAGTTGTAGGTTTTGAGCATAACTCAAAGTGCTCAAAAAAGAGTAACTCAAATAGTTTCAACCATGCTTCATATTAATGGAATCCCTTGATATGAAGTGAATTATTTGTTTATACCTTGGTTTCAGAACTCAAATGCAGTTTTTAAGTCTGTCTGTTGGTCAATAATGCTCACCATACCCCTACCTTAGTCCTGGAAGGAATAGAAAGTCACAAATGAAACAAGAAGCCATAATTCCTTGTGCCAGAATACTGAATTTAGAAAGGGAGACCACCGACCACAACAACAGTGGTCTTGTAGATTTTGGATGCTGTAAGCCTGTACTTCAGAGACTCATAAGTCCTGTCTGGAAATCAAACAAGCTCCCACCAGATGGATAGAGGAGCCTGGAATATGGTCTCTTTGGCAGCTGGCCAACTTACCAAAAAGTGGGCTTAACTGCGAATCACAGACTAGCCAAGGCTTTTTAAAAAAATCTGCTATGCTCTTAAAAATTAGAAACTGGAATTATAACCAGACCTAAATTTAGCATTCATTTAGTAATCATTACGTGAAAATACAGAACAGATGAAACTATATAGAGCATTATTTAAGAGGATGTCAACATATTATATATATTCCATCCCTTTTTGCAGGACACTTTCTCAGTTTTCGGTGTTTTTCTCTCCAGAATTAAATCTCTCTTGGGTTGACTCTTGGTTTTCAAGATTTTAGATGGTTTTATAAGGTGTCAAAACTTCTACAGTGTTTTTTGGCTATATGCTCCTTCTACCTTCAATATATTTAGACCCAAAAGATCCTGACTTAATTCTGTTCTCTCCTGTTCCTCTTTTCCCCTTTGGACCCAACAACAACCAAAAAAGCAGGGGTGGTAGAAATGGATCTTTCAGAAACACAGTTCATGGTTCATCCAGAAACTCTATGATGGCCAGGTAGTGGTATCAATATCCACATTATTCAATAACTTTAATTATTCCTTTTCTCCCCATCAGTGTATTAGCCCATTTATCCCAAAGCTAGTCCCTTTATCAATACTACATGTTGAATTAAAATACTGTGAATTTAAATTATTGCATTAAGTGATCTTTTCCTTAAAATAACAGAAAATACTTAATTAGAACAT